TATGCCACACTTACCTTACAGAATGTATAGTTATTACAATTTGTTTACAAATTTAATACGATTAAAACAATTAAACTTTGTTTTAGCAGAAATCACTTTTCTATCTAGCGTTGAATATTCAACACCTCAACTTTATGCCTAGAATTTTTTCTTTATATTGCTGTTCACACTGTTAACTATGCTGGCAATCTGACGCAGTATCAATCGCTACCTAGCTTTTTATACAGAATAGCTCGAAAAGTCGGTTAGCTTACATGCGCACCCGCAACATTCACGTCAACATTAACGATGTCTGCATAAATGTGTAGCATGGCCGATAAATCCATCGTAGTCGAAATGCAAAAGCAACACTTAATATGAAAGATACCAGCAGGAACAATCGGCAACTCGATGTAATCACCTCGAACTCGATTCATTATCATTTCCTACTAGATTGGAGTATAGTATATAATTATGTGTGACACTGTTAATAGGGTTGTAAAACCTGTATTTGTATGTGTAATGGACATGCATCCTCTTCTTATAAGCTGAAAATATGAAGTGTAAATACATTCATTTATATGTACGAGTGTGTGTTGTTGCAACTTTTATTGGAAACATGTTGCTTTGACTTTGTTCTGTGTTGGGAGTAACGAATACTTAGTAGCTTGATACCTGTTGCGTGTACTTCTTTCCTGTCAATAAAAATGTTAACTGAAACACAATGTTGTAATGATTGCACCAAAATTTTCAATAAATAAATTAATCACCTAAATATAAATTTTTCGTCAATTACGGATATGAATTGCCTCTGACCTATGTTCTCAATTTATAATATAATATATCAACACCTGCTGTTTCCCAAACTTATTATATTAATTTGAACTCTCGCAATATATTGCTACAGAGTATACTAGTTTTTTCATCTAACAGTTGTTTGTATAACCTAAGGATAGTCAATACATAGGGATATACATATATATAAATTATCACCTTGGCAAGAAGTGTTTAAATCAGGGTGACTGCCTGTCCGCCCGTCTTACCGTGCCAACAATAACATAAATAAAAGTTGAGTTATCCTGATGAAATTTGCTATATATGTTCTTCGGAAATCAAGGCAGATCGGTATTGCAGATGGGCGTAATCGAACCACCACAAAACGCCATTAAACGAAGTCCTATAAAGTGCAATACTTAAGCACTTAATTAGGATGCATGACTGTAATAGTACAGTACAGAGGATCGGAATATCGAGGGACGTCTGTTGGCTACAAATTTTTTAAGGTAGGCCATGCCCAAAAATTGGTAAAATCGAGTGAATACTTTCCGTACACATACCCAATAAAAATAATTCGAACTTCCGATTGAGATAATACCTCAACTATCGGTCAATATGATTTCTGTGATTTCAATAATTTCTGGAAATAGTCTCTAGGTAATAACAGCGTATCTCCTTTCCTGTGATTGTAAATAATGTTTGCAATACTCGAAAATCCCATCACTTTATTATGCGAGAGTAAAACATCTTCGGTTACACCCGAACTTAGGTCTTCCTTATGTATATGTATATACATATGTACATATGATATATTACGTCACATAATTAATCGCTTTCAAACAAAAACAGATCAAATGGATTTATAAACAATTAAGGAAAGTAGGTTTGGGTTCAACTAAAGAGTTAAAGTTCTGTAAACTATTTTTACGCCTCTGTCTTAACTATAATATATAACTAGGTAATTTCATCATTATTGTTAGGTATTGCGAACTATGAATCCGTTCAGACAACAAATATAATTGAAAAAAAAATTGTGTATATGATTATGCAAAAGTTAATAATTTTAATATCTACTGAGTGATTAGTAAGTGTGTTCAGTATTAAAAAAAGTCACTTGAAATGCTTCTTTGAAACAAAAAAAAAATTGATAAATGCAAATGAGACATTATTGCAAATTCGTGGAAACGGCGCCGCTTTGTCCCTGTTTTTTTTAATTGTCTTGTAACAAACAAGTTTACTACTATATTAAGTTTTATTATTTTGAAATATGACATCATAAACTTATCTAAACTATTTAATTTTTACAGAATTAGAACTTTGTTGTTGGTTTATTAGTACAAAGTTCTGTTGGAGAAGCTACCTTAAAGAGAGGAACTACAAGTTTCCCCCCCTATAACAGATGATAACAATTCAAAACTAGTGGAGGAATTCAATGAGAACAATTGAGTAAATTAGGTACAACTCCTTTGATTTATACCTTAAAATAACTCTGACATAGGTATATTTTAAATGTTTAAGTACATCAATCAATAATTTCAATAATTTAAGTTTAAATTACATCAAACATTGCATTATAATAAATAAAAAAATTAATGGTAATAAAAACGATTGTTTTATTAGACAAAAACAAGCAATGCCCTTTTATCTATTACATATCAAAAACATGTTACAATAATACCATTGCCTTTTCATTTGAGGATACTTATACTTATAATATATCATCAATTATTGATATTTTATAAGTATATACTCTACTAGACTAGGCGAAGGAGTTTGGTGGGTGGTCCTATGTTATGCAATGTCCAATGACAACAATATGTTATTGTGACTATATTTTTTTCATATGTTTGGAACACTTCGGTCACTAGTGTTAGTTACAACGTACTTAACTTAAACTGTATATATAGTATATATGAATGTACGCATATGTACCTATATATGTCTATATGCCTAAATTCACTTAACCATCTATTCGAGGTTTGAGCCAGCATGGCAATAAAATATATATTTTTATGTTCAATTATGACTTATTAGTTAGATATCTGACCGTCAATATAACTACTCCTCGTCTTCTACCATTACTGAAAATTCATAAGTACTTTACAACCACAAGTGTATTGCAAACTTTGCATCATTATGCAAGGACCGCTTCAAAGAACTCGTAGAATAAAAGTGATGTCACGTTTACTTGTTGTGTTTGTAAAAAGAAAAGAATGTCCTTTTCTACTAAGAATTTGTATTATACATACATACATTTACTCTAAGAAATATACATTACGGATATATTCTTGTACATTTGTATGTATCTTAACACATTAACAACGATGTTCGAATGTTGTTATCAATGGCGACTCCTCTTTATGGCTGAGGAATACATTAAAAAGTTTTATTGGTTCATATAGTTAAGCATCAAGAGGAAAGCAACATTCCATGTTAGTCTATGAATTACAATATTTAATATGTAAATACTCCTGTGGATAAATTTACTATTAGAAACTTTGTGTATAACAATTCAAAGCATTACACCGTACACATGTTCTTACGATCGCTTTTAGCTTAAAAATGGAGTAATGGTATTATGTTGAAAACAATTAAAAAAAAAAAAAACGAAGTATTACAGCACAAATGCAAAAGATTCCGTACTAGAATTGCAGAAAATATATCCTAAAATGAAAATGTCTTGGATACAAGCACTTGCTTCCGATCGATCAGTTTGTATGTATGGTAGCTATATGCTATAGTTATCCAATCTACAAATTTTCTTTGGAGATTGCATCATTACCTTAGGCAATAACCTATGCCCAATTACGGAAAGATCTTGTCGAATACAAATTTTCCATACAAGCACTTGTGTACAATTGTTCAGTTTGTGTTCAGCTTTATGCATATTGACCCGGCCTGAATAAAAGTTGAAAATTGCACCCTCGGCTTAAATAATAAAAAATATTTGCAGGCAAGCTTGATCCTCTCATTGATTTTGTAAGGCAGCAACATGCTTTAATGCGAAAAAAGACGTGTGCAAAATTTCAAATCGATATCTCAAAAACTGAGCAACTATCTCTATATATACATACAACGGACAAACGGACGAATAAACAGACGAACATGTATAAATCGGTCAGGTGATTATTTATATTTTATAGATCCTCTCCTAGAAAGATACCAAGAAAAATAAAAGCGTGAGAACGAGCTTAAGCAACGGGCAAATATAAAAGGACATTAAAAACCATTAGTATTTTCGTTATTTCATAAGTTAATTTTCTTATATTTTCAAACGCCCCTTGAAGTTTTATCCTAAAGTCGGATTTAACGTAAACAAGCTCTTTTTAATTTAAGCCATGTTCAAAACATTTTACTTTTCCATGTATTAAATATGGGATTTTTCGATCTATTGCAATAACTTTTTTTATATCCAAACAAGCAAATCTACAACTTTGAAAAATAGATACTCTAACACGAATTTTCCCGACCTAATAAAAAAATTATAATGATTTTTATCTGAGAATTTCTTTAAACTTTTTTTTTATGTACATAACTTTTTTCACATAACTTTTAAATATATGCTTTTATGTAAAAATCATTACAACTTTTTTAGAGAACGACAGGAAAATTGTGTAGTAGTTTAGTTTCCTCGTGTAGATAATTAAAGTAATTTTTTTGCCCACGCTTTGCCTACGATAAGTAGATAAATACATACTTAGGCAACAAACAGAATGAAAGTCATAAATTAATCAAAAGAGAAGCCACACAAACAATTTTTTTACAAATAAATTTATTATAACATGAATAGAAATAGGTGTCACATCTATATCCTAAAATATATTATAATTTATAAGGGTTGCACATACTTGCTTATTTTCTGCAAAAATCATTATGGAAAATATGATGAACGTATGTAATTTATGGAAATGTTGAGTTAATTCGTCACAATTCCGTACATATTTATTCATAAATATTTATAAGCAGTGATCCTTAATGGTACGTTGGAATAAATTTGGAATTACCAGAATATGTATTTGTATAATGGTTTCTCATTTAAGCATGGGAATGTGCATGTGTAGGTACGTATATGTATAAGAAAAATGTGTACGTATACATTTACAATGTTATATGCGTACTACATATGTATATATTCATATTTATAACATTCGAATATATGCCTTTTCAAATACATATATTTCACATTTTAACTATTTGTAGCACTTTTACTTTTAGAAGCAGCTTACTGCATTGAAATAACAACGCCAGTATATACGTCCTGTATTCCCCATTCCGTTTCGACCAATAATACCATTTAAATCACCAGAATCGTCATCTCTTGCCGCAGCACCCGTAAGCATCGCTACATCTTCGACGTTGCCAAGGTTTCCTCCCAAATCCAAGTTATTGCTTCCTCTTCTCTGAAAGCTCTTTGCCATTAACTGAAAATTTCTCACACACATGCCCAAATCTCAATGCAATTATGCTTTAATTACCCAACTTACAGTTTCACCAGTGGCACGATTTATGGAATTTAAATCTTTAAAATCGTAATCCATCACAACTGAAGGATCATCATCGCTGTACATATGATTACCATTGATTTGCTCATAATCATCATCATTATTAGGATTAATATCCCCTTTCATGTTGGCGTTTTTATCGTTCTGTTCTGCATAAAAATCGCTTATTTTACGACGTTCTTTTTCTAGAGCATGATGCAAAGCAACCATGAGTCGGTCTAACAAAAGAGCAGCTCGCTTAGGTACTACCATCTAAAAAAGTAAATTTAACCTTTGACGTATAAGTAATTGGTAATTTTGGTATAGGTATGTTACAGTCAACTACATGCAGAAGCAGAGTAAAGTTTCATTAAATATTGCTATGTATGTATATATGTATGTACATACATATGTACCTTGTAAACAGTAGAGCTTTAACATAAAAATGTTTATGAATGTATGCAATGTTTTAAATCTTCATTTTCATTCAGAACAATTGACAATAGAACCTCATTGGTGCGATAGTAAAGATAATAACTTAGTATTTGCTTTGACAACATCGGATAATGGTCAATGATTAAGTTACTTTTATGTGAAAATATTTGGAGAGACTCTTATCCAATTACTGGGAAGACTAATTTCAATTGTATCAAAGCGTACATGTAATGGTTTGATCTAGACATGCTTATTGGAGTGACAACGGCTATCTTCATTATTATCACTAGCAATAACTCACCGGATACTCATCATAACTGGCTTCGACGCGATCATCAAGACTAAAAATTTCCTCAGGCTGACCACTACCAATACGTCGTTTGTTGTTGGCAATTTGACTGTCTTCGATATCACCCTTGCTAGTATTGCTAATTACTCTCTTCTCAGTAGCGGCAATACTGTTCGTTTTGCCGCCTGTTGAATGTGCCGCGTTTATTAGATAGTTTGCGTCATCACTATTTTGTGTTAGATGATTTGCTGATATATGACAACACATACGTAAGTCGACATATTGCAGCAGTACGAATGCAATTAAAAGGAAAGCATATTGTTTTTGCGGTGTTCCAACGGAGACTTGGATATTGGAATAATAACGTTCACGTAAAATTGAAAATACATGAAAAAATGTCTGTTGTCCTATATTACTCTTAATTTTCAACATATATACTTTCAATGTTTTATGATGCATTTCCAATCATTTATTAGTTCAGTATGTATATCAGAAATATGGTTTCAAAAACTAAAGAAATTTCACGTCAAAAATTATGATGAAGAAAGGATATATAACACTAATTCGATTACAATATTAAATAGAGGAGACCTCTAACAGTTTGTCCAGTACTTTCCATAAATATTTTATATTTACTTTCGAAGTTTTACAACAACTGTTTCAGGATTTTTTTAATCCATCTGTTTGAATGGTAATATTTAGTTGCACTGGTGCTACAACGACTTTGGTCCTGTCTTTTTATAGTAGAACTTCTTTACTATGTTTGTGTATCCTATGCATATATATTTACACATATCGGAAGTACATATGTATTTACTTTGCATTCTTATTTTTATGGTCATTAAAACATGTTTTTTCCATAGCAGCTTCTTAAGTCATTGTCACATCAAACAGAGAAATGCTTTTTCAAAATTATCCGTCTTTTCGATATATACATATATTTTTTGCTTATAAATCATCATGTTTCTGTGGTTGTTATAATTAATAATGTATCCGATGCAGTATGCTGTAATACATATGTACATATGTATATGTATTTACATTCATGCATACATGTGTGTGCGAGTTGGTTTCAACTGGGTTGTAATAGTAAGGACTTAACATCAAAAAAACAAAAAACATTTTACAACGTATTCTGAGCGCCTTAAGCGTTTGGAAAAAAGCGCTGTGGCTTTTCGTCTTGTTAACGTGCGAGACCATTTTCAATAAGTGCATACATTTTTCTACTTATTGTCAATATGAGTCCGCACATTAAATACAATATAAGTAATACAAATATGAACCCTGTATCAAGTCCACTAGTAATAAACGACTTTGCAACTAGTATGAACAAATGGGTCGAGCGAAACATTGTTCAAAGAAAGCAAGATTGTACGTTCAAAATTTTGCTAGGAAAGGGTCACGCGAAAAGGCAAACATACATATGTGGGAAAAGAGGCCGCGCACGAAAAACGACGACGAAAGTTATCAAAAATTTGCAAGATTGTGGATGCGCGGTCAGTTCGTTGAAACCTTCAAGAACGACAAGACCACGAATTCTGGAGAAAAACTCTTTGTCCCGAAAGGTAGCAATGCTGAGCAAATTTTTCAAATTAGTACCATTGATGATTCTAAAAATAAGATTAGAAAATTGTTATATAATTGGTATGAATCTAATGATTTCCTTTATAGTTTAATTTTATATTTGTGGACGTACACCTGATATATTTCTTGACTAATTTGAATCCTCACTGTAGATATTTATATATGGTATATATGTTCGTGCTCGTTTGTATGTTTAAAAACGGTCGTTAACACCGACTACCATCCGACTTCAGTTTAAACTTAATATTATTCACTCTTGTTATTACCAGCAATAACTTTTTAATTTTTTCTTGATTTTTATTAGAACATTTTAATATGATTTTCAGGGTATGAAATCAACCGGAATGTCGGAAATCACAATATTGAGCATACTGATGCTAGAGAAATACAGACCTTCATTTATTTTTGATATTGTGGTAAACAAAAGTATGTTAGACAACATATTATATTTCCACGCAATTGTTATAAGACACCTTACACTTTGATAATAGACTTGGTCATAATAATAAAGTCGACTACCCTTAAGACACATTTTAAAATAAATGAATGAAATTCATCCTAAATAAGAGATCGATGTCCCGAAAAGTAAAACACTTGAATTATGAAATTAAAATTGTTAAGGTAAATTAAATAATTTCGTACTGTGAAATACATCTTTAACATATGATATGAGAATTTACCGGAATATTTCACAATTTTCTATTTTATATGGGGTTTAAAACTTCCAATGAATTACCAAATGAATAAAAAACTTTGCAGAGATTCGTGATTTTAAAACCCGACTTGTGAATATTATCAATCTTTAATTGAGGTATTGATCAGATGAAACTAATTTGAAATTTTGGCTTTTCGATTTGATTGACGGTTTATGTAAATTGGGCGAATTTGTGGTTTGATATGATAATAATATTTTATAAATTATATAACGTTATACGCATCTCTCCTTCAACAACGAATATAACAATAGTAATGCACAAATCGCGCTAATCATATCTCATCTATAAACAAATGGTATGTAAACAAACCTAATCGACAGAGTATCTGTTGTTATATCTGATCCCATCAAAATATGTAAATACCAACTCAAACAATAAATGTCCTGTAATTAAGCTAGAAAAAATCGCAGCATCCCTGTTCGTTTCTTTGAGCATGCGCTCGAACAAAATTTTATTTACCAGATTAAAGGAAACGTCAGAAAGAGAACTCAAAGGCTCGGCATTAAATAAAGTAAATTTTAGTTAAAATTAAGTAAAATATTGTCAATAAAGGAGAAATGCAGGCATCCCATTACGATAAAAATAAACTAAAATACCACGATGCGAGCTATGAGTAAGCAAATTATCAGTAAATGCAAAAAATTATTTATTCGTAATACTAGCATTTCCTTTTGTGTGACAAGAAAAATAATGGTACTAAGAAAAAAATCATATACATTCATATATTTGTATGCATTAACACTAACTTTCGGGAATTAGTAAGTTTATGCCTTCTAAAAATAAGTATATGTAATAACTATTTATCAAATATTATATTTAAGGAAAGGCAAAAATATAAGATGGATTATGAGAAAGTATTCATAAAATTTCCGTGCTTATTCTAATTTTACTTAAAAATTATTATTGTCTAGTGGCGGTGAATTACTGGAAAATGATGTGTTTATATTTATGTTGAATGGTCTTTCTTGCTACACATCTTTATTTTATATATACATATATTATAACTACCTTTTCTTTGACTCATTGTACTCATTGTATATACGAGATGTTTAATATTTGTTATTTTTATTTTTATTTTTATTTTTTATAGGCGAAAATATCTGTTGGACCCGAAATATATGATGAAACGAGATCTCCAACACTATTACCGGTACTATCACAGCTCGGACAAAGGTCGATTTAATTGTAAAAAAATCATATTTATTATATTGTGTGTATGTATTTTTGGATATCTATTCGTGGATTACAATATTCGTACAAAAATCATTAAATTTCGGGATCGTTTCGAATTTATAGCTCGAATTGAATCACAGTATAACGTTAGCCAAACCTATTTTGTAAACACTCCAGGTTGCCGCATTCCACATTTTGAAGTGACCAACTATCGATTAATGCAATATATGGGATTACCACCAAATCTGACTTGCAAGAAAGCTATAACCCGAGCAAGCGAGGTAGGTTCACGTGTTTGGTGGACCATAACCGACGAAGAATTAATGTTTTATTATAAAATAAACGATACCAGAAACATCAATTGCAACTATAGTCCGCTAAAACACCACTACAAAATTTCAACTAGTACATTCGGTGATGTAGTTCCATTCAAGTTGCTTTTCAACCAGTCTATTGAAATCGCACCCGAAATAGAATTTATACGAGTTCGTTGCTCAGAAAAACATAGACAATATTTTTATGAAGACTACCACTTTTTTGCTGTAAATAAAACACAACCAAGAACGAATTATTTTGCGAAAAGTGAGAAAAATAAAATTAATAGAAGGGTAAGAAGAGTTAAAAAAAAAGAAAACTTCAGTGACTACTTACATGAAAGGGATGATGATATAAATGAGTCTACACAGCAGCTTTCTATAATGATTTTAGGAATTGACAGTGTATCACATTTAAACTCTTTACGATATATGAAGCGTACTGTCGATTACATTCGAAAGCGCTTAAATTATGTTGAGTTTTGGGGTTTTAATAAAGTGGGTGACAACGCCTATTCCAATCTAATTCCACTTCTTACTGGCCTCGCTGCAGATGAGTTGAAATTATCTTGTACGCGGGCAAAAAAATTACACTTCACTGAATGTCCATTTATATGGAAACGATTCAAAGATGCAGGATATATGACTTCGTTTCTTGAAGATGTCGCTCGAACCAGCCTTTTCAGTATGGACACAATTTTCAGTCATCCCCCCACCGACTATTATATACGCCCCGTTGTTATGGAAATGGAGAATCATATTGGTTATTATTACTCCGTTAGCGTTAATTTATGTATGGGAGGAAGACGCACAATTGATTTGGTACTCGAAATGATCCAAAAGCTGAATCCATTCCTTCAAAAAGAAAATTTCTTTTCATTCTTTTGGCTTGCGTCCATGACTCACGACTTTATATATATGCCAAAATTACTGGATAATGATTTTGTTAATTTATTTGAGCATTTCCAAGAAACTGGGATTTTGAATAAGACAATAATTCTTCTGACAAGCGATCAGGGCTTACGCTGGGGCTCATTTCATGGAACATACCAAGGTATGATGGAAGAACGACAACCCTTACTCATAGCCATTTATCCGTCATGGTTCAAACAAAGGTATGCCGAAGCTGTTGCTAATTTGGAAATCAATGCCAAACGATTAATAACTGCCTATGATGTATATGCGACATTTTTGGATCTACTTAATTTACATAATTTGCAACCATCAACGTTAAAGGCCCGCTCTAAAGAGCTCCATGATTTTGATACTATTCCTAGAGGTATTAGTTTATTTCTTCCTGTACCTGAGACCCGCACTTGTGAAAACGCGGGTATTGCTTCGTACTGGTGCACATGCTATCAACGAACCGAAATGCCAACGAATGATGTACGGGTGCAGGAAGCGGCCCGTTATGTGGTCAAATTAATCAACGAACAATTGAAACCGTATCCACAATGCAGGATACTTTATTTAAACTCTATACTGGATGCAGTTTTGTTGGCACCCCATTATAATATTATCAAAGAAGTTAAGGATGATTATGCTAATGACATTTATTTAAGATTGCAAACTAAACCTGGATTGGCAGTATTTGAGTCAACGGTACGTATATCAGGGTATACAAAGAGGCTTACAGGCTCTATAACAAGGCTTAATTTATACGGAAGTCAAAGCTATTGTATAAATATAGATACACTTAAAATGTATTGCTATTGTCATAGATAAAAAGCATTTGCAATAAAACTACCATCAAATATCTCAAAAGCTACTTAAAATAAGCAACAAAAACATTACTTCTGTTTGAAAAGAGATTAAGAAATAATTAAACATAAGCATCTACTTAAATAAATACACATATGAACGAATCAATATATACCTATCTAATTTT